AGCTCATTGGCTGCATATGCAGCATGAACCAATCAGCTTGTGCCAAGTCGTTTAACTCTCTGAATATCATCAGTTACGTTAACACCCCGTCAGAATGCGCCATCTAGAGTTTCATGACTGAACTATATATTTGACCATATTTGATGAGCTTTTAAGAATGTGCAAATATTAAATTTTTATTTGTGAATAAAAGCCTAAATTAAATCTGTTCATAATATAAAGTGATCATGTTTATTCAGAGGACTTAAAACTGCTTAATTCATATAGATTACTTTTATAATCTCTTTATGAACTTTTTGTAGTGTCAAAGTTTTGATTACCCGGGCTTTCAGTGGAATGACAGAAATTTGTCAGGGTTGGAAAAGCTTTAAAACTATAATATACCAAAAAAATTAAGATTCTGTCCTTATTTTTATATATATATATACATGTTGCTTGAAGGGGAAAAAGGGAAAAAGTGTCAAATTTGTCCAATATGTGCTATGCTCTAAGTCTGGAATGCCATCATATGCAAACTATTTTTATGATTCTCTTTTTTTCCTTTTTGGAGCCTTACGGTCTATTTTCATTGTACTGAAAAGAACAACAAAGCTAAATATATGGACAGAAGAAATAATTTTTTTGAATGACATGAAAAAAATAATAAATATTGAGAACATTTTTGGGTGAACTGTCCCTTTAAGAAATGTGCTTACAGTGTTACTATTATTATATTGCGTACTTGTGATCAGGTGCTGAAGGAATATCTGGACAATGTCCAGCTGGGACATATCCTGGAGAGAGAGGGCAGCTGGGACCGTGTGCAGGACTGGATGGATGTCCTCAGTGGAGGAGAGAAACAGAGGATGGCTGTAAGCTCTGATCTTTGCATTTTTTAATCATTCTCTATTTAGGATGAGACTGATATTAATGTGGCCTGTATTATATCAGAAAGTCCACGTTTTCTTTATTGAATTGCACAGCTGGCTCGTCTGTTTTACAACAAGCCCCAGTTTGCTATTCTGGATGAGTGCACCAGCGCTGTGAGTGTGGATGTGGAGGACTTCATCTGCAGCCACTGTCGAAAGGTAGTCAGATGTCGTCTTCTTATACACAATAAATGCAAAAATGTTAGTGTGAAAGGCAAATGCTTATAACATGCGGCTAGAGAAGTTACAACAGGTGCTCACCCCACCATGCTCGTTTTCTGTCAAAAGTGAGAAGTCAGGAATGTATTTGTTGCTCCTGTGGGAGTTTGCTTTCTAAACCTCCGTCTCCATGAGCTCATCTGTTCCCTCTTTTCAGGCTGGCATCACACTGTTCACAGTCTCCCACAGGAAATCACTATGGAAGCACCATGAGGTATAACTTAGCCCTTGTCTTTCTTCATACTACGGTTTGCAGAATTCATTAGAAAACCTCAAGTTATGCGCTATGAATTTTTAAAACTCTTTGTATCTCTATACTGCAGTATTACTTGTAAATGGATGGAAGAGGAAACTATGAGTTAAAAAAATAGTTTGGATCATAATAATGACACTGGGCCTTATTCATGAGCCAATCTTTGTGTAAATCATTCGTAATGTTATTCTTAAATTGTTGCTTGTGAAAATTTGTGCAAGAATGATTTTACACAAAAATTCACACTCATGAATGAGGCCTATCTGTATTAAATGTGGATCTGACGCAATATTATTGTGTACCTATTGAATTAAAAACTCTATATTATAAGATGTTGTTGAAATATAACGTCTTTTCTTCATCTGAGGGAAAGGATTGTAACTCTATGGATAAATATCTCTCAGGGAGAGGTTACTGCGCATTATCTGAAAAGATTTTTGTAAGGAATAAAATTGGATTTGTTATCCCTTTTAAGAATCAAGCATTTGTAATATAAAAATCATGTTTTTTCTTGTGATACTTGATTTGTGTTTTGAAACTGGAACAGTCACTGGCATATGTTGTTGTCAATAACATACTGTTGCATGCCACTGGTACAATAATTATAATACTATGGAAACTGTATTATTGAAGTGTAATGAGCTGTCTTTATGAATTTTATTTTATGGGAAATTTATTTTATTTTAAGAGATAATGAAGCCTAAAAATATATGTTTGAGAACCTACTGGATACATTGTGCCTTACAGACCTGTTTTATTCATTTTACTGAATTACAGAACGTACAATGAAATATCTTGTGATATTTTAAAAGCAAAAAAACTCTAAACTGATTTTATGGTCAATTTGGTTTTCTTCAATTATTTGTTTTCATTTTACATTTGGTTTGAGAAGTTTTTTAGGCTTTTTTCTTTTCATTTAGGATAGGTTACTGCTTTGGAAGGCATATATCACATATGCACAATTGTCTGCATTTTAGTTACATCATGTTTCAAGTCAAAGTTTAAGTCTTGAACAAACAAAAAAAACAAGACTTTTACATCTTTACCATAGCTTACCACAAGAGTGAGCTACTGAGACCAGAATGCAACACTTATTCTTCACCAATGAGTGTCACCCTGTTCCTTTTAATTATGATTGTGTTGCACAATCTGAACATGCTTTCTGGGCCATTAGGGTATTTATAGGGTACTTACATATAGGGTACATTAGTATTTTGATTGTGCAAGTCCTTTTAAATAAATCATTACAAAGCATAGGTCAATTAAAGGGGTCATATGATGTTGCTAAAAAGAACATTATTTGGTGTAATGAAATGTTTATGCGGTTTAAGGTTAAAAAAAAACAATTTTCCACATACTGTACATTATTGTTTCTCCTCTATGCCCCGCCTTTCTGAAACGTGTCGATTTTTACAAAGCTCATCGGTCTGAAAAGCGAGGTGTGCT